TCTGCACCAATTGTTCCGGCTAACGGGGATATCACTGTATACTGGGCAGGGGAGGAAGTTTGGATTGTGTGCCTCTGCTGACTGCCCCTTAGCAACAGTTACTGAGTGTTGGTCGGCAAAGGCAGCACATCCCAACTAAGCTGTGATGCAGTGTGTGCATTATGTCGAGGGTTTAGATGTTAACGCCCTCTGGTTCTTATAATGATTACTGTCAGGTGGATCACTCACTTTCACCAAGGATATTGAACAAGATTATGGATATTTGTAACAAAATATGTCTATTTACAAGTATTTACACTGATCATCAGCAGGAAGACAGTACAGAGCAACATGAACATATGTAGGTATGGAAGTGCCAAACTGCTGGTCAGAACAAATGTCGGGAGTGTAGACACTGGATGTGAAGCTTGGGGTCTTGTATATCAACACGGCACAGGTGGTAAACAGGCATCTTCTCAACACCTTCACAGGAGAGCAAGTATCTTCTTAACTGGCACAGGTACGTGATAATGGACCTGGGAGGAACAGCACAGAGGCTAGGGCTGACAGTGTCCTAGCTGGCCTGCTGACATACAAGGCTAGGAGTGCAGTAGTTCACACCAACGTGACCATGAATAAAAAGCTGCAACAATGCAGTACATTTAGAATATTGTCTCACTAATTTAGTAGTAAAGGTCAACATTCTATTATATTTGCACAATTCATACACACTAAGTTGTACATACATAGTAATTAACAAACATTACACAAGGCTTCCTTAAAACACAAATAACACCACAGGAACCATAAACCAAAAACAATGATAAATAATACAGTGGTCCCTCGGTTAATGAGCGCAATTCGTTCCAGAAGCTTGCTCGTTAACCGAAACCATTGTTTCAATGGGTTTTTGGGTAATTGGTTCCAGCTCACCGAAAATTGCCTAAACTCAACAAAAAGGTAGTAAAGTACTCTTACTTTGAGGTGTGCATGTAGAAGGTTCCTGGATGATGATGATGATGATGGTAATTAGAATGGGGGTGGAGGAGAAGGGAGAAGAGAAGGCATTGGGGTGGAAGAGAAGTCACCCTATGGCACCATTTCACCCATAAAATTTTAGTTCTTTAAATCAACATTGCACTGCATTATATATTGTCAATATGTAAAAAAAATTCAAAATGACCAATAATTTGCTTGGAAACACAGAAAAAAAGAATTTATGTTGAAGAGAGTCTCAAGCAAGATGTTACCTCCACTGTAAAGACACAGAGACTGACGCCTGTATGGTGTGTTGACAGGTTGTTTGGCGCGCAAAAAACTAGCTTCCTATACTTCAATTATGTTCAATAATTGTTAAAATGACTAATAAATTTAATATAAAACTTTTAAAATTATTGAATTGTACAAACTTCTTGATATTTACTAAAATAGTAAGGAATTTAAGCCCTAGAACTAATTACTGTATTGGCGGACTAATACTACAGCTGGTGGATCGCCAAATGCAAGCGAAAACATGTGGAGGGGCGCTCATAAGAAATTCGTTAATCGAGGGATTGCTCGTTAACCGAAGTTAAGAATCTTATGGAATGTAATTCATTAACCGAGACGCTCGTTAACCGAGGGATCACTGTATGGAATACTCACAGGCAGCAGGTGACCAACTGGGTCAGAGAAGGGAGCCAAGTGACCAGCCATACTGTTACACCCCGCACTATGACTCGGCTCAAACTACCCATGAGCAACACCTTCAGATACAGAGAACAAACCTACCACTGAACAACACAGTTCCAACAATCATTGGACTGGAATATAAACCCCTTACACAATATTTTCTTTAATTTTATTTTTTTATGCTTTCATAATTTTTCCTAAACAGACTTCTTAATAATTATTCTACTCTATATAAACAGTGTGGCTTAAAAATAAAGAAAATATAATATAAAACTATAAAAGAAAAACAAAGAGCTTGGTTGTGTGAAAAGTGAACTTGTATGGAGGAAGTTCTAGCCAAGGTCTTGTCTATAAACTACATGGCCTACTCACCAGCCCAGCCGCCTTGTACAGTACAGTAAAGCCTCGATTAACGACGGTAGTGTGTCCCCCAATATTGCAGTGTAAGGTGAATCATTGTATCGCGAATCATTAATTACCATTAAAATAAAGCAATAATTATGAGATGTGTTCCCAAGTGTGACCTTTTTATATCTTTCGTGTGGCTTTTTACCCTCTTTTCCCCTTAAACAATACAATTAATGAAAATTGCAAACTATATTCTTTAAATAATGTTTCTGAATGTACCTTATATAAAATAAATGAATAATAATATGGTCACACAAGAGGAGATGGGACGCCATTGTTTTCATTTGGGTTTACAGCCGGGAGTCCGGGACGATAGTTCTACACGAGAAAATGAAGAAAATAAGACCCTGGTTGTAGCTGTAGTGAAATTAATGTAAAAAAAGGAATATATATGCTTTAAGTAATGTTATTTAATGTTAATAAATGGAATAATAGAAGTAGCTAACCATTGATGGCAAAGAAAAAAAAGAGATGGATTGGGAACACCAACATATACATGCTCATTTAAGGATACCACGTCATTTATTATTACGACACTTTACACTGAAACGCGGGTAGTTTCAACAAAAATTTTGTATATTTCCATTCAAGTATTTATTCAAGTCAATTAGGAGGGAATATTATTGTAATACAACAGTTTTTTTTAACTGAAAACCATTCGAAAGGCGATTACGGTAAAATCTTTTGAACAACGAAAGAAAGCGAGAGTCATTGTTTTTGTCACGATTTTATCCCACTTTCCACTGTAATACGTACATCATTTCAGCAAAAATATTACATTTCCATATTTATTTCTGAGGATATATTCATTCAGGCACAGTTAAGGTAAAATATACTTGTGATGCAATATTTTAATGAAAATATTTAGAAATACGGTATTGTAGTTTACTTTTGTTTCAAATTTAATTAACAAAGATTGATGCTTCAAATTTAATGAACAAAAATTTATGTATCTATAAATAAACTTTTAAAAATGAATATTTCATGTTTTACATCGTCCTGTGCTACCATACCATGCATTTGGCTACTTTGGGCTTGCTATGATGATGCAAGAGATCTGCCCTGGCAACTGTACCGACACTCACAGTTGGTGGTGCGTCGTTTCCATTGTTTACTGGTAGTTACTGGTGAATATTTTTCAACCTAACGAACCTATTACCCGTTTAGAGGTCGGCCCCCAATTTTTTGCCAAAAAATTTGGTCTTAAAAACTCGAACTACACACGGGTATATACGGTATGTATTTGATTGAATTAATCTTTATATAAGCGAAATGAACAATACAATTCCTTAATAATACGTAGAATATTAAAACACACAAGAGGATAAGAGACGACATTCTTGTCAGTGCTTATACCCATAATGTCAGTTATCCACCTGAAACTGAAGAAAATGAGACCCTGGTCCCTGGTTGTTATTGTAGTTAAATTAATGTAAAAAAATGTGAATGTTTTAATTAATGTTATTTAATGTACAGTAGAAGTAACAACTGATATTAAAGAAAAAGTGGCTGATAGTGGAACGCCAATGTACACAGTACAGTACGTGCACACTCAAGGAAACATAGTCATTTATCTTAAGAATATGTACAAAAGATTCATTATTGTTTATTACTGAATATGTATATGATTGAATTAATGTTTGTATATGTGAAATGAACAATGCAATTCATTAATAATATGTAGAATATTAAAACACACACGAGGAGACAAGACGGCATTGTTTTCATGAGTGACGATGGTTCTACATAAGAAACTGAAGAATAAGACCCTGGTTGTAGCTGTAGTGAAATTAATTAAAAAAAAAAATACTTGGATGTATGTTTTAAGTAATGTTATTTAATGTTAATAAATGGAACACTAGGAGTAGCTTACCACTATTGGTAAAGAAATAAGGCGAGACGATTGGGACGCCAACGTATGAACAGAAAGTGCGTACATGTGAAAACATATTGTCATTTCTCTACATATGAATATGAAAACAACACTTATTTACTGTTCATATATGTTGCAGTAGAGGGATTCTGGATAACATGTGTATTATTATAACCATGTACTTTATCCGTGATTTAAGGGATTTTCGAGGCTAATTTTGGCTACACAGTAAACCTCGATAACTTGGCACATATGGGACTCTGGCTTTGTTGAGTTATCCCAAATTCTGACTTCATGAGGCTCTTCCCTCTCCTACAAAAATACAACAATATAAAATTATCGACCCATAAATGTGTACATGTAATTATTAAATATAAAGTAACACTTACCAGCACTGTAGGTGAAGAGTGAAGCATGGTAGGTGATGCAGAGGCATGGTAGGTGACAGAGGCATGGTAGGAGGTGACACAGGCATGGTAGGTGACACAGGCATGGTAGGTGATGCAGAGGCATGGTAGGTGACACAGGCATGGTAGGTGACACAGAGGTATGGTAGATGATGCAGAGGCATGGTAGGTGACACAGAGGCATGGTAGGTGATGCAGGTGGCCAGATATGCCATGATTTGCCCAGATAATTTTATATACAGGTAACTCAGCATTTCCCGAGTTATATTGATATATTCTGAGACCATATCCATGCCCAGTTATATGAAATCCTGAGTTATCAAATGCCGAGTTATTGAGGGTTTACTGTACTAGTTATTGCCTCTTTGGAACCTAACCTACATAAGATGTGCCATGACTGTACTTTATGCTTTTCTTATATTGTTTCTATGCATACAGTGTACAGTTAAAGCTGAAGAGAGACTTCATGGCCAGTTACTGAAAGTTTACTTTACAATTAGTACATTTACAGCCTGGCTGAAACTCTGGGGGGAAAGCATATCCTTTAATCCACAGATCCCAAGCATGCTGGGTAAATGATCCCATACCTAGACAGTGCAGTACACCAATAATGGTAAACAATAAGGCAGTTTGACTCAGTACTGTTTTTATTTATGTTTCAGAATCCCAGTTGTCGTTACTTGGTGGCTTTGTGCCATTATGAGGTCGGTGAGTTCCAGGCAGCATTGGACGTGCTCGAACGTAGCGACAATAACAACGTGTCCCGCATCAAGGCTGAAGGGGAGCCTATATGTGTTCCAGAGATCGACGATACCATGTCTGTAAGTGCAGTGTCGTCAGCTTAATTTATTGTATGTTCACATTATTTGCAAGTTTATTCAGTAGCCAACACTCATACACTCACTTCAAAAAGTATCTTAACGATGGGTCCCGTTAAATAGAAAATGAATGCCGCGACTCCTGTTGTCTCGGTAAGATCGTCGAGATCCTTCATCCACTGTGTCATATTGTCTAACACAAAGTTTAGAGCAAGTGTACGCGTGTTGGCTGCTGAATAAACTTTACGAATAATGACCATTTTTGTCTTGAGTAAAGATTAGATGTCGAAGGTGATTTTGTGAGAAGGAATGAGTTAAATCTTGTGGTTTTATCCTAAAAGATTTTGGTTCAGTCTTTCCTGGTATTGGACACCACAGCTGACCTTAAGATGTTGTTGTACTGTACTGTATAGTGTAGTATAGTATTTGTTCACAGTACAGGTACATAGTATAAGACATTCACTCAATTCATCTGTTTAGGTGTTGTGGCAAAAGACGAAATACTGTACTGTTCATGGATGGTGGAGTGTGGGTGTGGAAGGTGGAGCTGGAGTGTGGGTGTGGAAGGTGGAGCTGGAGTGTGAGTGTGGAAGGTGGAGCTGGGGTGTGAGTGTGGAAGGTGGAGCTGGAGTGTGAGTGTGGAAGGTGGTGCTGGGGTGTGAGTGTGGAAGGTGGAGCTGGAGTGTGAGTGTGGAAGGTGGAGCTGGGGTGTGGGTGTGAAGGTGGTGCTGGGGTGTGAGTGTGGAGGTGGTGCTGGGTGTGAGTGTGGAAGGAAGGTGGCTGGGGTGTGGGTGTGGAAGGTGGGCTGGAGTGTGGGTGTGGAAGTGGGTGCGGGTGTGAGTGTGGAGGTGGGCTGGGTGTGTGTGGAAGGGTGGGCTGGGGTGTGGGGTGTGGAAGGTGGAGCTGGGTGTGGGTGTGGAAGGTGGTGTGGGGTGTGAGTGTGGAAGTGGGCTGGGGTGTGAGTGTGGAAGGTGGGCTGGGTGTGGGTGTGTGGGAGGTGGGTGCTGGGGTGTGGTGTGGGGTGGGCTGGGGTGTGATGTGGTGGAGGTGGAGCTGGGGTGTGTGGGTGTGGAGGTGGGCTGGTGTGGTGTGGAAGGTGGAGCTGGGGTGTGGGGTGGAGCAGGTGTGGTGTGGAGGTGGGCTGGGGTGTGGGTGTGGAAGGTGGGCTGGGGTGAGGTGGAAGGTGGTGCAGGGGTGTGAGTGTGGAAGGTGGAGCTGGGGTGTGGGTGTGAAGGTGGGTGGAGTGGGTGGGGTGCTGGGGTGTGAGTGTGGAAGGTGGAGCTGGAGTGTGAGGTGTGGAAGGTGGGCTGGGGTGTGAGTGTGGAAGGTGGTGCTGGGGTGTGAGTGTGGAAGGTGGGCTGGGTGTGGGTGGGGTGCTGGGGGTGTGAGTGTGGAAGGTGGGGTGTGGAGGTGTGGAAGGTGGAGCTGGGTGTGAGGTGTGGAAGGTGGTGCTGGGGTGTGAGTGTGGAAGGTGGTGCTGGGGTGTGGGTGTGGAAGGTGGAGCTGGGTGTGAGTGTGGAAGGTGGGTGCAGGGGTGTGGGTGTGGGGAAGGTGGGCTGGGGTGTGAGTGTGGAAGGTGGGCTGGAGTGTGGAGTGTGGGAAGGTGGTGCTGGGGTGTGGTGTGGAAGGTGGTGCTGGGGTGTGGTGTGGAGGTGGGCTGGGGTGTGAGTGTGGAAGGTGGGCTGGGGTGTGGTGTGGAAGGTGGTGCTGGGTGTGAGTGTGGAAGGTGGGCTGGAGGTGTGAGTGTGGAAGGTGGGCTGGGTGTGGTGTGGAGGTGGAGCTGGGTGTGGTGTGGAAGGTGGGCTGGAGTGTGTGTGGAAGGTGGGCTGGGTGTGGTGTGGAAGGTGGAGCTGGGTGGAGTGTGGGGTGGTGCTGGAGTGTGAGTGTGGAAGGTGGTGCTGGAGTGTGTGAGTGTGGAAGGTGGGCTGGGTGTGAGTGTGGAGGTGGGCTGGAGTGTGGTGTGGAAGGTGGGCTGGGGTGTGAGGGTGGAAGGTGGAGCTGGGGTGTGAGTGTGGAAGGTGGAGCTGGAGTGTGGTGTGGAAGGTGGAGCTGGGGTGTGAGTGTGGAAGGTGGGTGCTGGGGTGTGGTGTGGAAGGTGGGCTGGGGTGTGAGTGTGGGAAGGTGGGGCTGGGTGTGAGTGTGGAAGGTGGAGCTGGGTGTGGAGGTGTGGAAGGTGGAGCTGGGGTGTGAGGTGTGGGGCTGGTGTGAGTGTGGAAGGTGGAGGCTGGAGTGTGAGTGTGGAAGGTGGAGCTGGAGTGTGAGTGTGAAAGGTGGGCTGGAGTGTGAGTGTGGGAAGGTGGGCTGGAGTGTGTGGGAAGGTGGGCTGGGGTGTGTGTGGGAAGGTGGGCTGGGGTGTGAGTGTGGAAGGTGGGCTGGTGTGGTGGGGTGGGCTGGAGTGTGGTGGGGCTGGGTGTGGTGTGGGAGGGCTGGAGTGTGTGAGTGTGGAAGGTGGGCTGGGTGTGGTGTGGAAGGTGGAGCTGGGGGTGTGGTGTGGAAGGTGGGCTGGGGTGTGAGTGTGGAAGGTGGAGCTGGAGTGTGAGTGTGGAAGGTGGGCTGGAGTGTGAGTGTGGAGTGTGAGCTGGGGTGTGGGTGTGGAAGGTGGAGCTGGGGGTGAGGTGTGGAAGGTGGAGCTGGAGTGTGAGTGTGGAAGTGGAGCTGGGTGTGGGTGTGAAAGGTGGGCTGGGTGTGAGTGTGGAAGGTGGTGCTGGGGTGTGGAGTGTGGAGGGTGGGGCTGGGGTGGAGGTGTGGAAGGTGGGTTGGGGTGTGGGTGTGGAAGGTGGGCTGGGGTGTGAGTGTGGAGGTGGAGCTGGGGTGTGTGTGAGTGTGGAAGGTGGGCTGGGGTGTGAGTGTGGAAGGTGGAGCTGGGTGTGGGGTGTGGAGGTGGAGCTGGGTGTGAGTGTGGAAGGTGAGCTGGGGTGTGAGGTGTGGAAGGTGGGCTGGAGTGTGGAGTGTGGAAGGTGGGCTGGGGTGTGAGTGTGGAAGGTGGAGCTGGAGTGTGAGTGTGGAAGGTGTGGAGCTGGGGTGTGGTGTGGAAGGTGGAGCTGGGTGTGGAGGTGTGGAAGGTGGGACTGGGTGTGGAGTGTGGAAGGTGGAGCTGGGTGTGAGTGTGGAGGTGGGCTGGGGTGTGAGTGTGGAGGTGGAGCTGGAGTGTGAGGTGTGGGTGGGCTGGAGTGTGGGTGTGTGGAAGGTGGTGCTGGAGTGTGAGTGTGGAGGTGGGCTGGGGTGTGAGTGTGGAAGGTGGAGCTGGAGTGTGAGTGTGGAAGGTGGAGCTGGGGAGTGTGAGTGTGGAAGGTGGTGCTGGGGTGTGAGTGTGGAAGGTGGTGCTGGGGTGTGAGTGTGGAAGGTGGAGCTGGAGTGTGGAGTGTGGAAGGTGGTGCTGGGGTGTGTGGTGTGGAAGGTGGTGCTGGGGTGTGAGTGTGGAGGTGGGCTGGGTGTGAGTGTGTGGAAGGTGGGCTGGGGTGTGAGTGTGGAAGGTGGTGCTGGGGTGTGAGGTGTGGGTGGTGCTGGGGTGTGGTGTGGAAGGTGGTGCTAGGTGTGGTGTGGAAGGTGGAGCTGGAGTGTGGTGTGGAAGGGTGGGTGCGGTGTGGGTGTGGAAGGTGCAGCTGGGGTGTGGGAGTGTGGAAGGTGCGGCTGGGTGTGGTGTGGAAGGTGGTGCTGGGGTGTGGTGTGGAAGGTGGAGCTGGGGTGTGTGGTGTGGAAGGTGGGTGCTGGGGTGTGAGTGTGGAAGGTGGAGCTGGGGTGTGAGTGTGGGTGGAGCTGGGGTGTGAGTGTGGAAGGTGGAGCTGGGTGTGAGTGTGGGCTGGGTGTGAGTGTGGAAGGTGGAGCTGGGGTGTGAGTGTGGAAGGTGGGCTGGTGTGTGGGGGCTGGGTGTGAGTGGAAGGTGGAGCTGGGGTGAGTGTGGAAGGTGGAGCTGGAGTGTGAGTGTGGAAGGTGGAGCTGGGTGTGAGTGTGGAAAGTTGGAGCTGGAGTGTGGAGTGTGGAAGGTGGTGCTGGGGTGTGAGTGTGGAAGGTGGAGCTGGGGTGTGGAGTGTGGAAGGTGGTGCTGGGGTGTGAGTGTGTGGAAGGGGTGGGCTGGGTGTGTGAGGTGTGGAAGGTGGGCTGGGTGTGGTGTGGAAGGTGGAGCTGGGGTGTGTGGTGTGGAAGGTGGAGCTGGGGTGTGAGTGTGGAAGGTGGTGCTGGGGTGTGAGTGTGGAAGGTGGGGCTGGGTGTGGGGTGTGGAGGGTGGAGCTGGGTGTGAGTGTGGAAGGTGGGCTGGAGTGTGAGTGTGGAAGGTGAAGCTGGGGTGTGAGTGTGGAAGGTGGGGCTGGGGTGTGAGTGTGGAAGGTGGGCTGGTGTGAGTGGAAGGTGGAGCTAGGTGTGGTGTGGAAGGTGGAGCTGGAGTGTGGTGTGGAAGGTGGGCTGGGTGTGGTGTGGAAGGTGGTGCTGGGGTGAGTGTGTGGAAGGTGGGGCCAGGGGTGTGTGAGTGTGGAAGGTGGTGCTGGAGTGTGAGGTGTGGAATGTGGGCTGGAGTGTGAGGTGTGGATGGGTGGAGCTGGAGTGTGAGTGTGGAAGGTGGAGCTGGAGTGTGAGTGTGGAAGGGTGGAGCTGGGGTGTGAGTGTGGAAGGTGGAGCTGGAGTGTGGAGGTGTGGAAGGTGGGCTGGAGTGTGAGTGTGGAAGGTGGAGCTGGGTTTGAGTGTGAAAGGTGGGCTGGTGTGAGTGTGGAAGGTGGTGCTGGGGTGTGAGTGTGGAAGGTGGAGCTGGGGTGTGAGTGTGTGGAGGTGGGCTGGGGTGTGAGTGTGGAGGTGGAGCTGGGGTGTGAGGTGTGGAAGGTGGAGCTGGAGTGTGAGTGTGGAAGGTGGGCTGGTGTGGTGTGGAAGGTGGTGCTGGGGTGTGAGTGTGGAAGGGTGGGCTGGTGTGAGTGTGGAAGGTGGAGCTGGGGTGAGGTGTGGAAGGTGGGCTGGGGTGTGAGTGTGGAAAGGTGGAGCTGGGGTGTGAGTGTGGAAGGTGGAGCTGGGTGTGAGTGTGGAAGGTGGAGCTGGAGTGTGTGGGTGTGGAAGGTGGAGCTGGGTGTGAGTGTGGAAGGTGGAGCTGGAGTGTGAGTGTGGAAGGTGGGCTGGGTGTGAGGTGTGGAGGTGGAGCTGGGTGTGAGTGTGGAAGGTGGAGCTGGGTGTGAGGTGTGGAAGGTGGGCTGGGGTGTGAGTGTGGAAGGTGGAGCTGGGGTGGAGTGTGGAAGGTGGGCTGGGTGTGAGTGTGGAAGGTGGGCTGGAGTGTGAGGTGTGGAAGGTGGAGCTGGGGTGTGGTGTGGAAGGTGGGCTGGGTGTAGTGTGGAAGGTGGAGCTGGGGTGTGGTGTGGAAGGTGGAGCTGAGGTGTGAGTGTGGAGGTGGAGCTGGGGTGTGAGTGTGGAAGGTGGGCTGGGTGTGAGGTGTGGGGTGGGCTGGGGTGAGTGTGGAGGTGGGCTGGGTGTGGAGTGTGGAAGGTGGGCTGGGGTGTGTGAGGTGTGGAAGGTGGGCTGGGTGTGAGGTGTGGAAGGTGGAGCTGGGGTGTGTGAGTGTGGAAGGTGGAGCTGGGGTGTGAGTGTGGAGGTGGAGCTGGGTGTGGTGTGTGGAAAGGTGGAGCTGGTGTGAGTGTGGAAGGTGGAGCTGGGGAGTGTGTACTTTTCTGTACTGTTCTGTACTGTGTTGTACTATACTGTACTGTTCAACACTGGGCTAACACAGTTCTGTATCTGCTTCTTTTTAATATATTTATTCTGTATAAGAGTTCTGTTCTTCTGTTCAGTGTTCTTACTATAACAGCATTGTACACATTCTGTACTGTTTTTGCGACATACGGTTCTCATTCTGAATATGAAGTGTTCTGTAACAGATTCTGTTCTAG